CCGTAATTCTGAAGTTAGTAATTGAAAGTTAACGTAATTCCGCATCCAACGAGCCCTATATGAAGTATTTTGGATAAGTAGTTTGTTAATAAACAATTAGTTAACATTGGAATTTTTTATTAACAATATACTTATCCAAAATACTTCATATAGGGCTTGTTGTATGCGGAATTAGCTAAACTTTCAATTAGTTAGTTTAGATTTACGATAACTTTATTTGTTTGTAAGATATTTCATTTTTTATTGTTATTTAACTAAAATTAAACAAAAATACTTCATATAGGACTTTTGGATGCTTGTTGTTAGTAAAAAATAAAATATCTTACAAACAAATAAAGTTATTGTAAATCTAAACTGACCAATTGAAAGTTAAGCTAATTCCGCATCCAACGAGCCCTATATGAAGTATTTTGGATAAGTAGATTGTTAATAAACAATTGCAATGTTAACTAATTGTTTATTAACAATCTACTTATCCAAAATACTTCATATAGGGCTCGTTGAATGCGGAATTACGTTAACTTTCAATTACTAACTTCAGAATTACGGTAACTTTATTCGTTTGTAAAATATTTGATTTGTTATAAACATTAATTAATTAATTAATTAATATCTCAAAAACTTTAAAAGATCCCACTCTGAAAATTACATGTTTTGTAGGAAATTAGTCAAGCTTTCCATTGAGATAGTTAAAAATAATTTTAAAAAATCTGATTTTGAGATAAACGTAAATTAACATTTTGACCTTGAATTTCATTTTAGCAGAATTTATTGTGCATATTATTATTATAAATATTAATGAATTTTGTTTTTATAATAAAGTATTGTAAGCTGTCGTTTTATAATTAATATTTTTTCAAAATTTAGTAATTAATAAGCAAATAAAACTGCTTGCAAAGTAACGGTACACTCAAAGCATCACTCAAAGCAGACGCTCCTGCTTTCTGTTTTCTGTCTCTGATCCCGCCCATCTCTTCCCTCCTCACTCTTTACCACACCGCTCTGATAGTTCGTCCGCTCTCGGGAAGACCGCTCTTGGGAGTTTCCAGTGTATACTATATTGATATGATAATCTGGGGTATCGACTTAATAGTCTTATTTGAGATATATACAAAATTGTAAATTTTTACACTTTTTACTATAGAAATCAATTCTATAGGTGTTATAATAAAAGGTATGCTAATACAAGTTAAAAATTTGTTCATTTCATGACCATTTATAGTTTAACACTTATATATTATTAGAAAATTACGAAATTGAAGAATTCGACTTTATCAGCAAAATGACATCTATTAGATGTCATTAAAACTCCTTGGTTCAGAGTTAGGTGTTTCATGTGATAATTATATCGATATGATTTGGCGACAAATAATTATCAATTTTGAATTAATTTTGATCTGAAAAAATAAGCTGCGTGCTCGAGTAGACAAAATTCTATTTTGTTAAAAATAAAAATACTGATCAATTTTGTAAATATTGGTAAAATGTAATCTTTATATACATCAATCGATTTGTTTTGATGCTAGGAATACAACTCTGACTAAATTTATTAAAAATTTTTATGAAGAAAAAATTTATTTTAAAAAATACGAAAAATTTTTTTTTCAAAAATTAAAAAATAATATAATTTATAGATTTTAAGTAAAATATAGACTTTATATAGGTTAATGAAGTCGTTTTAATGCGAGAAATCAGTTTTTTGGACAAAAAATTATATTTACAGTTTAAAAAAATTTTTGGTTAAAAAATATTAAATAAAAGATGTTTGTTGTTGTTTGGCCTAATGGCTGTTTAATAATAATTTGAAGTCTATAAAATGACGCGTTTCAACACATATACGTATCTAAACAACAAACATCTTTTATTTACAAATTATGGCTTCTCAAAACAATTGACTAAAAAACGTATTCTCGAATTTTTGAAAAAGTGACAAAAAAAAATTATGTGGATATTTTTTGAAATTCTTTTGTCTGATTTCAGATATTGATGAATCCCTCACAACAAAAGGATATTCAGGATATCCTTGGGTCGTCCTGGGGATATCGGTTTGTTTTCGGCGGTTTGGATATCCCTGGGATATCTTAGAGATGTCCATGGATATCCAGAGGATATCTTAGGGATATCCGAATCGCCAAAAGCAAATGGATATCCCCAGGACGTCCCAGGGATATCCTGAATATCCTTGTGTTGTGAGGGATGTAATAAGCCTACAAAATTTCAGAACAATCCATCGAAGTGTATTATAGAGATAATTTGTACGCACAAGATTTTGTGACATACCCACACACACATACATCGGGACATTTGTTTAAAACTTCAAATATATGCATTCTAGACAAAAATAAGCTCATATAACCCATTTTTAAAAAATCGAAAAATGTCACGAATACAAAGCTTCCTCGAGAGGAGAGGTAGCAAAAATTTAAATAAATAGAAAAATCACAAACGCATTAAGTAAAATGAACTATTTTTGAAAAAATTGTACGTTTATATTTTGAAAAAATCAGAATGATCCAATTCTATAGAAATTATTTTCGAATGTAGGTATAGTAGAATAAGACAAAATTCAATTCAGTCTCGGAATGTGCAACTGTTTAGTAGTTTGCACGTTTGCACAGAAATCCTTCATACTTCATATTTAAATTTAATTATGGAAATATGTAGAAAATTTATTTTTTATACATTTTTTTCAAATTGGCTGTATGGGAAAAAATATTAGGCAAATAAGATTTTAACGACTTAATTAACTCTAAATTATTTCCCTACATGATTTTTTAATTTAATTTTTAAAATTTACAAGTTTTATCAGATTGAATTTCCTATGTACCAATTTTTTAATTAACCAATTTGTTGATGGGGCATTCTATCTCAAATCGTTCCACCTTCCAAAGGCGATCACAAGGAGAGCGATTTTAAAGTTAATTTTTTTTATAAAATAAAGAAATGATTTATATAATGTTGCATTTTATTTCGAAAGAGAATTCAGCAACTTTTCGATTGGTCTTTTAACATGTTTTTTTAATTTCTCACAATTTCATAAAGAAATTCCGTTTTAAAATATTAAACTCTTGATATCTCAAAACACCCTCGCTTAAATTTTCTTGGATAATTTTGAGAATTTTTGAATAAAAGTGATTTAAAATGTGTGTTTTTAAAAAATTTGACACCAAGTATGAAGTTAAAATCTAACTTATCCAATTTACGTCACAGACGAATTTCATTGTTTTCATTATGAAAGAAACCACAACCTACACGGAGAGAAAAATCTAGCTTTAAGATCATAAAAATGATTCCTACCACTAAAGCATGAATTTTTCCTACAAAGAAAGCAAGAATTCATACGTTCTTAGTATGTTTGAGAAACACGCTTTCGTAGTATGTATTTAATACTTTAAATGCATAAGCGCAACGCGAAAATTGTATAAAACCAAAACCTACTACTATTGCAGGAGTCTCATGCTTTTTCGGTATTAGAGTCCTGCAACTGGCGTAGTATGTATTAAATACATACTACGAAAGCATAATTCTCAAACCTTTTAAGCATGGACAACAATCATACTAATACCGTATTAATTCTGACTAATATTACTAGAATTTCTCTACTATAATAGCATGGAAAAGATTCATGCGTTAAAGGTATGCCTTATCATGCTATAAAAGCTAGATTTTTCTCTCCGTGTATATAGGAACAAAAATTTTCTTAAAAGAGACAAATAAAACCATGTTTATTCTAATAAAGTACTTTAAAGTGATTTTTATAAATTATTAATTTTCAAATTATTCTTCTTTATTTTGTTTAAAATTAAATACGATTAGGTATTATCGGAAAAAACCTGTAGGTTATTTATTATTGAATTATTGAATTCTATATGATCACTCATGAGATTTTTCTCATGAGTTTCCCTATAGGATTCTCGTAAGATCTCATGTATAGTATCTCATATGAGAAACCATAAGTGATCTTATACGGGATCTCATACGGGAATTTACAATAAAGGGTGAACTTTGTCTCTGATGATCAAACAAGTAACATTTTTTTGTAATTTAATAAAAATCAAATAAATTATTTTTTCATTTAAGTAAATTTATTCTTTTACTTAAAAAATGATGTGGAAAGTTGTAAAAATAAACGAAAAATATGGTCGTTTTTTTCACTCTATAAAAATTTTGTGAAACTGCCTTGAAATTAAAGTAGATATTGCAATTAGGAATTCGGTTGTCGTAAAAACAGTTGATGGTATTAAAGAAAACGCGCGGCGTCGCTTAGACGTCGCTAACGAAGCCGCAGCTTTTACGAGGCTTTGATGCGCACATCCGCATTTTTATTCGAGACACTTTTTTTATTATCATTAAAGGGAACATATATTATTTTCGCGTGCGAGATAAAAAAAATCATTCCCCCTACACAACATTCTTCCATTGAAAAAGAAATTCAATATAGTCTATAAATGTATAGTCGTGTCAAAAGTGTGCTATATATGCGCGTCAAAACAATTATTCTCTGGGTGTGTGTCAACGCCGCTGAATCTTTGAAGAAGATGTGACCTTTCAAAACAGAGACGTCAGTTTCGGATTCTGTGATTCGACATGAAGTATATCTTATGACAGTTTAAGTACCTCTGAAACACGAGAGGAATATTATTATTCTGTGTGAGACTTTCCAAAGTAATTTGGCGAACGTGTAACCAAGTACTTTTCGGCAGAATGGCTATTGCCTTGTTACAATGCATAGGAAGTAGTTTGAAAAATGGTTCAATGTCTCCTTTTCCGTTAAATGCCCTCTACTTACGTCACTGAAAACCATTTTATCGACAGTAATCTTCTGCAAAATTTCTACATTTATCTTCGATTTTATACCAAAAAAATTGTTGTATGTTTTTAATAGTTCTGATAAGGACGTAATCATTAAAAAAACATTTAAGGAACTGATTAAATAATTATATTATTTAATCAAACTTTTTTTTATAATTTTTCATAAAAGTAAATTTTTCTTATTTCAGAACGGAGATTCGCCACAATACGTTACGGAACGACTTCGCCAATTCTCTGATCCTTTGGCAAGGTTTCAACCAATCAATGGTGAGTACTATTCATTTTATTCAAGTCCTATAACACTATTGAGATATAGATTTCACTACTGCGTTTTACGAGTATAAATTTACTACTTTTTGCAATGAATATCAATTTATTAACGTTATATTTAAAAGTTTTTGGGGTTGAGTAAAATGTAAAAATAATACATAAATTATATAAAAATTTTTAGACTCCAAACTTGAATAGCCACGTCAACAACAACAGCAAAAAAATATATAATTGCACTAAAATTCACAAAATAGCAAAAAAAGAGAAAAAAACAGTTTAAATAAAAGAAAAACTTGATATATAGAACCAAAATCATAATTGAGCACCTGGAAATAAGAACTCGCCAAGCGCTCGGCTGCACGCTACAAAGCCAGTCAAACATACAAAAATGATGAAAAAATAAAATTCGAAATTTTTGATGTTTGAAAAATGCTATCTTGTAGGAAATGAAAAGGCGCATCTTTTTTTCCTCTGGATTTTTCTCGTCAAATGAATAGTTTAATTAATAAATGTAAAAAACTAATAAATTTTTATTTTCAAATTTCATTCAATTTTTAAACATAAATCATCGTATCTTCGACAAATATTAATCAAATCCAATGAGATTTTGCATACTTCCGAGTTTGGGTCCATAGATGACGATAGTCTAAAAAAAATGTTGAATTTTTTTCAATTGTTGACCAATTTTTAATTATAAACAAATACCTGTCGGTAATCATACTCAGTTATCTTCGCCGACAAAAAGTCTGTGGGGAAGTTCATAGTTGAAAGAACTTCCAGTGAGACATTTGTGTATTAGGATATAATGAAGTTTTCTGTAAAGTTTCAAATAGATTAATTCAATAGTTTAAAAAATATTGAATTTTTAAGATTGCGCGTGTGGCGCGCCAACGAGTAGGCAAGTGGATAGAATCGCTGAGCAGTTCATTACATGAAAAATGACCACTTTCTCACATCTTTTTTCTCTTAATTTCATTATTATTATATATAAATTGTTTTAAATTGACTTTATAAATAATATTTTTTTTAGTATTTATCATGTATATATATATATATATATATATATTTATTTGTTTATATTTAAAAATACAACTCAATAATAAAAAATGGAATGTCTTATAAGTATTCAAAATGTACATATAATTAATACAAAATATTAATAACTATAAGTAGTCTAAATTTTTAACAATATAGTTAATTAGACATTAGATGTAATTTTTTTAACAAAATTTTTTTTACATTTTTCAAACAATTACAAACTATCAACAATAACTTGTAAATAGAAAATTTTAAATAGACAATATAAATTATGAATTCAACTGATAAAATGAAAATTAAAAAATGTACTTAAAAAAATTATTTAAAGAATTAGCTAATTGCAAAATTTTACACATAACACATTATTTAAATAATATCTTAATAATTTTTGCAAAAATTTTCATATAATTTTGAAAATATTATTTTATTCGTATGTTTTTAACACATTAACATAAAATAAATTTAACCCAGTAGCAATAAATTCAATTGTTTAACTTAATTTAAAACAATTTATATATAATAATAATGAAATTAAGAGAAAAAAGATGTGAGAAAGTGGTCATTTTTCATGTAATGAACTGCTCAGCGATTCTATCCACTTGCCTACTCGTTGGCGCGCCACACGCGCAATCTTAAAAATTCAATATTTTTTAAACTATTGAATTAATCTATTTGAAACTTTACAGAAAACTTCATTATATCCTAATACACAAATGTCTCACTGGAAGTTCTTTCAACTATGAACTTCCCCACAGACTTTTTGTCGGCGAAGATAACTGAGTATGATTACCGACAGGTATTTGTTTATAATTAAAAATTGGTCAACAATTGAAAAAAATTCAACATTTTTTTTAGACTATCGTCATCTATGGACCCAAACTCGGAAGTATGCAAAATCTCATTGGATTTGATTAATATTTGTCGAAGATACGATGATTTATGTTTAAAAATTGAATGAAATTTGAAAATAAAAATTTATTAGTTTTTTACATTTATTAATTAAACTATTCATTTGACGAGAAAAATCCAGAGGAAAAAAAGATGCGCCTTTTCATTTCCTACAAGATAGCATTTTTCAAAAATCAAAAATTTCGAATTTTATTTTTTCATCATTTTTGTATGTTTGACTGGCTTTGTAGCGTGAAGCCGAGCGCTTGGCGAGTTCTTATTTCCAGGTGCTCAATTGTAATCTCGTTTAGATATAATTACCACAAGAAATTCTGAATCAAGGTATAGATTTCCCTCGCAGACATTAATTGAGACCACATGACAGACAAAACAAAGTGTTCAATTCATGACCATTTAGCTTCCTCATCATAATACACTTATATTCAAGATTAAAAGAAGGATTACAACTAAAATAGCGATCAATTTTACAAATATTGGTAAAATGTAAACTTTATATGCATCAATCGATTCGTTTTCATGCCAGGAATATGGTTTTGACAAAATTTATTAAAAATTTTCATGAAAAAAAAGTTATTTCAAAAAATACGAAAAAAATTTTGTTACCGAAAATTAAAAAAAGATATAATTTATAGATTTTAAGTAAAATACAGACTTTATATAGGTTAATCAATTTGTTTTAATGCGAGAAATCAGTTTTTTGGACAAAAAAATTATATTTACAGTGTAAAAACATTTTTGGTTAAAGAACGTATTTTCGAATTTTTGAAAAAGTGACATAAAAAAAATTATGTTGATATTTTTAGAAATTCTTGTGTCTAATTTTAGGTATTGATGACTGTAATAAGCCTATAAAATTTCAGAACAATCCATCGAAGTCTATTAGAGATAATTTGTACACAAAATTTTGTGACACACACACACACACACATACCTCCGGAACATTTGTTTAAAACTTCAAATATATGCATTCTAGATAAAAATAAGCCCATATACCTCATTTTTAAAAAATCTAAAATCGTCACGAATACAAAGCTTCCTCATGAGAAGAGGAAGCAGAATTAATTCCAAAAGTTAATATCCCTTGGCGGAATAAAATCACTCAACGTCCACTTTAAAAAGTATACATTAGGTAGACATTGGGTAGAAATTTGATAAGGGGTCTTCCATAAACCACGTGGCCCACTTGGGGAGAGGGGGGGGGTGTTAGTAAAATGCTACGCTAGGCTACGCGTGGGGAGAGGGTGTCTAAGTCTAAAGGAACGTAGAATTTCTTCAAGTATATTTTAAAATTCGCGCGAGTTGTGACGTCACAATCCAGGCAATGACTTTAAACTAATTCCTAAGCTAAACGTAAAAAAAATAATTGCGAAGCGGAAAAATGAAGTATTATGCGAAGAAGATTCAGTGAGATCTGATTCACCGACGCCTGATTCTGAAAATCCCCATATAGGAAACCACATGCGGTCCTATGTCAAAAACTATGTAAAACCCCACTCCTACATAGGAAACGATATAGTTTCCCATATAAATCCCCATGGGAAATTGAGATAGGATTTGACATAGGAAAAATCAAAACGAGGTTCCTTGTTTCCAATGTCAAATACCATGTTTCAGCCAGATATCTGTAGTGTAGTGGTTAGGGTCTTTAGCTAGCGCGCGGCGAATGTAGGTTCAATCCCCAGCACCTCATAATTTGTTTTCAAAAGTTCTTGCTCAACAAGCATGCAGTGCTTGATTCAATGTGAATCAAAGCAGAGCAACAATGTTTGTATAATTATTTATTTTATTTTTAATCCCAGATAGTAAATTTTTTTTATTGATAATAATAATAATAATAATAATAATAAAGATCTATCTATCTATCTATTATTATTATTAATATTAATAATAATATTAATACTTCTTAAATATTATTTTTGTATTTTTTACAAATATTTTCGTCCAACCTTTTCTGAAAATTTAATTTAAATTTTTAGGAAATATTCGTCACAAAAATTGACTGAATATTTAAATTACATTTTCACTCAACTTTCGTTATAAATTTTTAATAAATATTTAATTTAAATTTTTAGTCAACTTTTACGCCAAACATTTCACGAAACTAATTTAAATCTTCACTCAATTTTCGCGTAGAAAATTTCTGGAAAATTTAATTTAAATCTTCCGTCAAGTTTTACGCCAAACATTTACTCATTTTGGACATTTAAATCTTCATACAATTTTCTGGTGAAAACATTGTGATCACGCTTCGCGTGATGGTCCTGAAATTCATCATTTCTTTCATTATTCTTAAACATATTTCTTGTAATTATTAATAAACTAACTATTTATCATTATTATTGATTCATATTTCTATAAAAAACATATATTTACTTTTATTAGAATATTCAATTTGAAATTCAATAAAAAATCTAGAATCAAATAAATAAAACTGTTAGAATATTTTTAATTTTAAAAAACTTTTCAAGGAGATTTTTATTATATCTTTAAAATATTGAAACATCGAATCTCTTTAAAAATTAAATCCAAGTTTTTTATAGCGTTTTCACTAAAGGCTTTTGTTAAACAGTTTAAAGAAAGATTACATTTTTAAATATATTTATATAGGTAAATAAAAATTTTATTGTAAATATTTTTAAAATTCAAACTGGTCTAACATTTTTATTCATTTGATTTTAGATTTTTTATTGAATTTTCAATTGAACATTCCAAAAAAATGATAATTGCTTCCTCATGAAAGAAGATTCAACCATTTTAAAACAATAAAGCATGCACACTGCATACACTTTTCACAATTTATAACTACACGAGGTACACTACCGTTCGAAATTGTGCGAACTCTGCTTTTTCAACAACTATAAAACTGTTCAAATCTTCAAAAATATTAAAACTAAAATTGTTTCCTCTTTATTTTATTAAAGTTAATAAAATTCTGAAAGAAATGACACCTTGACAAAGAGAATATGTTAATTTTTCAATTAGATATCTAAGAAAAACCCAATTTTCAATGTTTTTACTATTTTTTTTATTTCTCTGGCAAAAATTAATAT